GAAAATACTGAAGTGTCAAAGATTTCATTTTACTTGGATCCACAGTCAATGCTTATAGCAAAATTCAAGAAATTAAACGACTTTGCATTGGGCAAATCTGCTACAACTAACCTCTTTAATATGTTGAAGAACAGAATGATCACTTTGAGGACTATGGTGCACCTCACTCAAGACATGGTATTTTCACCCCATATATGTGTAAAAGCTGAACAACGAATAAGGAAAAGAACTGATGCATTTGAATTATAGTGTTGGCAAAGAATGTTGAAAATACTGTGGACTACCAGGAGAACAAAGAAATCTTGTCTGGGAAGACGTGCAGCCAGAATGCTCCTTTAGAGAGAGGATGGCAAGGCTTTGACTCATGTACTTTGACATGTTATCAAGCAGGTACAGTCCCTAGAAAAGGCCACCATGCTTTATATAAAGTAGAGGGCTAGCCAAAGAGAGGAAGACCCTCAATGTAATGGATTGACACAGTGACTACAACAAGATGGCTCAAACACAACAACAATTGTGAGGATGGCACAGGACTGGGCAGTGTTTCATTCTGCTGTGAGTCAAAACCTACTCAAAGACACCTAACAACAACAACAGCAATCTCTTATTGTAAACATTTGGATTCAAGGATCTTTTAGTTCAAACGGTACTCCTTGTCTGTCGGTTTGTTGTACTGTGGTGGTTTACGTTTTGATGTAAGCTATACCACCAGTGTTTCAAATATAAGTAGGGCCTCTCATGGTTGTTGGGAGGTTTTAACAGTGATTCCAGGCTACAATAACCTAGTAAGGAAGGCCTGTTTTCACAAAGAACTTCCAATGTGCCAATGACAAAGTAGCCAATTCCCAAAAGTAGCCAGTAACAACCTTAAGGATCACAACAGAACCTTAACTAACTTGCTTTGGATTCATCATCAGGAGGACTCAGTCACTGAAGGTGGATCTCATGTATGGTGAGATACAGGGCTAGTGAGGGCCACGGAGACCCTTAATGAGATGGACTGGCACAATAGTTGCAATAATAGACTTGAACATGCACGTGATCACGAGGAAGATGCAGAACTGGGCATCCATTCTGTTATACGTTAAATTGCTATGGGGCAGAGTAGACTCAATGGCAGCTATTCATCTATCCGTCTCTATCTATCTATCTGTCTGTCTGTCCATCTTCCCACATACCCACCCACCATCTATCTACCTAACTATCTGAATCATACAGACCTCATTTCATTAAAGATCAGTGTTAAGTTTTCTTTTGTTGTTGTTAAGTGCTGTCAAGTTGGTTATGACTCATAAGTGAACCTGTATAGGGTTTCCAAGAAGGAGCTGGTAGGTTTGAACCACCAACCTAGTGGTTAGCAGCTCAGTGCTTATCCTATAGGACCACACCAAGACACTTAATAATTTTTAGAAGGTAAAAATTATTTCCATTGTTCCTAAGGATAGTTGTCATTGTCAAGTACAGTTGAGTCAGTTCCAACTCAAAGTGACCATGTTTAGGGTTTTAGAGGAATGACCGATGGGTTTGAACCTACAACCTGCAGTTAACAGTCCAGCGCTTATTCTACTGCTCCACCCCAGGACTCCAAGGATAATTGTTAAGGGCCATGTATAGGGTTTCCAAGGAGCAGCTGGTGAGTTTGAACTGCCAGTTTTTCAGTTAGCAGTTCAGTGCCAAGAATAGTAAAAGACAGCTTATATGGGGAAGTTTCAAAAAGTTCATGGAAAATTTTAATTAGCTTCTAGTTCTAGTTCCGACTCCATGGCACATCACCACCACCACCACCCTGCCATCAAGTTGATTCTGACTCACAGTGACCCCATATATTTTTTACAAATTTTTGAAGCCTTCCTATACAACTAAAATAATTTATGGTTCTATGAACAGTTTACACTGGTTATATATTACAAAGTTGTTCATGACTTTCTTGAACAAATCATGCTGTTTTCAGACTTGTTCTGTCTTCTGCTTGGTAGTGTCAAACCACTTTGCACAGATTATAAGGTTGAGGATAATGTAGGTCATCTTTGCAATGGGAACCTATGTTTATTGTCTGTGGCACAGGGTGACGGTTACCTTATTCTCATGAATTAAAATCAGGGAACATGGCCTAACAAATAAGATTCTATGAGTAAATAAGGTTGCTTAAAACTTAAATGCATAGGGCTGTAAGGACAACTGAAGCTTTCTCAGGTTAAGATAGCCATTCCTAGGATCTCTGAATTTTAACTTGGGAATGATGGGAAAATTCTTTTATGTTCAATGATGAATAATTTGTAGATTAGCATTTCCATATATTTTATGTTTTGACTTGGTCTTTAATCCCTTTGTTGAGTCAGGGTTTTATAATTTTATAGGTAATATGATGTTAGAATATTTTATATTTGAAATAAAGGTGACCAAATCATGTTTGAATTAAATGATTATTGAGTAAAAAAACCTAAGTCTGATAGGAACTCTATTAAGAAGTCTAAGTGATGTTGACAAACATCTGAGTGTTAGCGTGCTCTAAGTGGAGAATGAACTGATCATTCCAAGGAGCCATGACTATTGTTATGAGTAGATTATGAGACTGAGGGCAGTATAGGTCTTGGTTGCAGTTAGGAACCCATGGTTATTTAATGTTTGTGGCTCAGGATGATAGTGACCTTATTTCTATGACTAAAAATCAAGGAGTCATGTACAATGGCTGGTATCTAAAAGAAGGAGTCACTCTGCGTTGCTCTACAGAGTTATATACAAGTATTAAACCCATCTAAAACTACCAGCTGCTCCGTGGGAGAAAGATGAGGCTTTCTGCTCCCGTAAAGATTTACAGCCTTGGAAACTCTGTACAGGGTTGCTATCAGTCAGTTCCAACTCCACGGCACACAACAACAACAACACTGCCATCAAGTTGATTCTGACTTACAGTGACCCCATATAGGGTTTCTGGGGCTGTAAATCTTTATTGGAACAGAAAGCCTCAGTTTTCTTCTGGAGTTATAAACATTAAATGAGAGGAAACATCTTCCCAGGGGGAAGGAAAATAACTAGGAACAAGATAAAGAGGAAACATTTTTTTCCCTGCCCTGTCCATTCATTTTATCCTTTTTAGTTTATTTCAGTTCAAATGTATTGAGCATATGTATTGAGCTATCAGTGGAAATGCAGAAAATATTGATTTGTCTCACAATATTTGTCATCAGCCTTATTGACATATAATACGCACATCACACAATTTATCCATTTAATGTATACAAGTCAATGGTTTTTAGTTAATTCAGTTACTTCATAATAATTTAGTTCAAGGCTCATATTTTTTACTTCTTAGTTCCTCAGGTCTGTTGTTATCAAGTACCATATAGTCGGTTCTGAGTGGATTTGAACCACTAACCTTATGGTTAGCATTCCATTGCTTATTGTACAGTGTCACTGTCACTCTAGGACTCAGGTCAAGAGGAAAGAAAAGCCTCCTTGGCCCCATTCCTTCATCTTTTCCTTCCCTGACAATCATAGTACTCACCACCTTCTATGAGGTGAGGTCGGCACTGTGCCGACATGCTTTGTAAGTGTTCTCTCACTCTATGCTCCTAGAAACCTTGAAAATAAGTTTCATTCCTACATTAAACAAAATGGCAACAATACCAAAATACCTAACATTTATTGTGAGTACAGTTACTATCTCACTTAATACATGTGAAAACTTATTTCTCTAGACTCCATTTTTCCTTTTCACCCCCATTCTCATCAATTATTAGTTCTGTATCATTTGCTTCCTGTTTCCCCCAACCCATTAGTTTTTGAAGCTTGCTGGGCTTTTCTTTGGGGTAAAGAAGAGTAATTTAAAACACACTAGGATTCTCAAGCTCTTAATAAGAATTACAGAACACTAGATGCTTTATTCCACACATTTTTGAATAGAGGATGAGAATACTTAGGCAGAGGTTGGACAAATGTAGGACTAGAGAACACTGCCACCACATACGTATTCTTACTTCCAGCCCTCAGTTATGATTTAGAGAGAGGCACAAACCGCTCTTTTCTCTACACTTCCAGGCACTTGATATTTCTAATCTGAGATTTGCTTTTTCCTCCTCAGATGAAAGCTTGAAACTTTATACCAGTTAGCCAACTTCTCCGTGCACATGCTTCTGTCACAAACTTGTAGTTTCGTAAAAGAATGTTTTTTTAAAAAATGCCACATGGGAAAAAAAAAATGCATGTAAATATGTGTTGGAGTTTCACTGGTAAGGGAAAGAAAGATGCTTCTGTAACTTTAGATAGATATATAGCCAGAAAAAAAAAATTATCCGCCATCCCCAGAACACACAAAAAAATTCAGATTGACTGGCTGTCTTGTACTGAGTTAAATATTTTTGATATTTTCTGATGAACAATTAACATTAGAGACTGAAGCTAATTTTTCTACAGGTTTACGCACCAATGGTAATACTTTTGTAGTCTAAGTATATGTTAGACTTTGGAAAGAGTGTTGCCAATAGAAATACCCTATTAAAAGAAAAACTTTCCCAATTCTAATTATTATTCATCAACTCTAACCTATGTAAATGAGCAGTGTAAATAAGTAAGATATTTGTGTTTGTTTTGGTGTTTATGAGTTCCGACTCATAAGGACCCCATATGGGGTTTCTGAGGCTGTACATTTTTATGGCAGCAGAAAGCCTCATCTTTTGCCAGTAGAGCAGCTGATGGTTTCGAACTTCTGGCCTTTCAGTTAGCAGCCCAGATCATAATCCACTACTCTATCTTTGTGTCTGTTTTAAAGTTATGATTTTTGTTGTTGCTTGTTTTTTGAACAACTGAACAATTTATACTTCCAAAATCTAGTTGAGTGTACAATTTTAGTAATTGTTTCTTGAATATTTAATTCTGTTTAAGCAGATATATATATTTCTTTTGTTCTACTAATATACTGTCATTCTGAGTTTGGGATTTTTCTCGAGCTGCATTCACAGAAACTGATGTTCTAATGATTTTATTTTATTTTATTTTCCTAGGAATCCGAGAATAATAAATTATGTTCCCTATATTCGTTCCGAAATACCTCTACCTCACCACATAAGCCTGACGAAGGGAGTCGGGACCGCGAGATAATGACCAGTGTTACTTTTGGAACCCCAGAACGGCGCAAAGGGAGCCTTGCTGATGTCGTAGACACACTGAAGCAGAAGAAGCTGGAGGAAATGACTCGGACTGAACAAGAGGGTATGTGTGGACTTAACTATTGGGCTTTTTATCCTTCTTAAGACTCAGGTCTTCAAAAAAAAAAAAAAGAGTGGGATTTCAAGAGCCAGAGAATTGCTTAATTTTCACTAGCTAGGAAAAAGTTATTCAGAGGTTACTATGGTGATGGCAGATTGTGGTCCATTAGAAGTATTACGTACATAGCTATGTTTTTCTAAAACTGGGTGCATTTTATTTGGTTCTTATGATAACAAATCAAGGTTTTAAGCTGATTGTAAGCTTTAGCCTGAAAAAAGGTACTAGGGGACTTTTTTCCAACTACAACTTTTTCATTTCTTCTTCCTGACTTCCTATTGGAGTCCTGATATAGTGTTGCAGGATAAGCACTGGACTGCTAACTGCAAGGTCAAGGTTCAAAACTACCAACTACTCCTCAGAAACCCTATGCAATGTTGCTATGAATCAGAACTGAGTAGATGGTGCTTAACAACAACAACTTACATTTGGTGAATAGTGTTTCCTTATACCAATATCAAGTGTTTAGAAGTAAAAGCAACAAATAATTTTCTCAATTCTATTAATATTATTGTTACCTTCAAATGTAGAATTGAGAGTTAAAGATTTCTACTATTGTAAGGCTCAATGCTCAAGGCTCCTGTATGTGTGTGCTTGCCAGGAGACGTCTACTATAGCATTCCACATCCATCTTCTTTCTCCACAAGGCTCCTTTCACAAACACAGAGATCTGCTCTTCAGGAACATGCTGAAACTAGATAAATCAAGTATGACTGTTATGCTTTTAAAATATACATATATTTTTCCATTTTATTAAATATATAGATTTTAGACCATAAAATGTAATGTAATTAATGATGCATGTATTACTAGCATTATCAGTTAAATGTAGGTCTCTTTGACACTATTAGGGAATGGAGATTTGATAGCCTTGATTTTTTCATGAAACTTAAATTTACTCTTTTAAAGGCTCAAGAATTTTAAAGTTTCAAATTATTTTTTTTTAATAGAAGTCTTTCTAAAATGTCTTGCCTACTTCCTTGTCTTACTCATCAGATTATATGGTGCAGTATTTAACTTTTTTTTTTTGATGACTCAGGATGTGATGTGGTTGGTAGACTAGGAATTTCAATATCTATCTACTAACTATAAAATCCTGCAAAAATTGTTTAATCTCTAAACCCCCAAATTAAAAGTCTATTATGACACTATAACCTGTCTTGGTAAAACTTGATAAGCACTAACTGTAATAATGAATATAAATGTTTCTTAAGAACTGTAAGACTATATACATTTGAAATGTCATGATTATATTATAAATGTCAATTATTTTACTATGCTATAATGAAATGATGCCCCCAAGAGATCTTGGAGATAATTAGGACTATTCAGCTTTATGGCACCCTGGTGTAGCACTGTCTGATAAATACTGGACTGCTAACCATGAGATTGGTGGTTCAAACCTACCAGCTGCTCCTTGGAAACCATATACAGGGTGGCTATGAGTCAAAACTGACTGGACAGCATTTAACATTTAGCTTTACGATCATTCCCTTGTAATTACTAAACTTTGGAGTTCCTATGTATGCTTTTGTTGTATACTCATACACTTATATGCATATGCTTGTTGTTGTTGTTGTTAGGTACCATTGAGTCAGCACCGACTCATAGCAACCTTATGCACAGCAGAATGAAACACTGCCCAATCCTGGGCCAACCTCACTACTGTTGCCATGCTTGAGTCCATCGATGCTGCCACTATATATATCATATATATATATCATATATATTTCTGTTTTGGGTGTGTGTGTTTCTCCCCCTTGAATATCAGGTTGTAGGCTGTTACAGCTTGCTTTGTCATGAATGCTTCTGATTTGCTTCTTTCAGTCATGTAGATTATGAAATTAGATTATGATATTTTGGACAATATATTGTTGAGAGATCCTCTTACTGGTAATCTACGTGGTATTTAGTGTATGGATTTTGTGTTGACTCTTCTGGTTGCTCAGAGTCTTTGTTTTCCTGGTTCTTGGCTATGTTTGAGTTTAATTAAAGATACCTGGTCAGTGATTTCTGAATATCTGAGATTGCTAGACAGCTCTTTACTGTGATTCACACACACAAAAGAAATGGTTTTAGTTCTAAAACATATAGTTTTCTAAATAGAGGGTCCTTATAGTGTGAGAATGAAGAAATTGATTTGTAATTTTTTTCCTCTTTCCGGACTACTAAAACAGTTTCAATCCCTAGTAATGAAAGGTATATACAAGGAGGTTTCAAAAAGTTCATGGATAAATGAAATTAAAAGATAATAGAATATTTCCATGAGCTTTTTAAGCTCCCTGGCATTTCACTAACCTCATATGCATGTAAAGGTTGGATAGGGAATAAGGAAGACCATGGAAGAATTGATGCATTTGTGTTATGGTGTTGGAGGAGTATATTAAGAGTACCACGGACTGCCAAAAGAACAGACAGATCTGTGTTGGAAGAAGTGCAGTCAGAGTGCTCTTTGGAGGCCAGGATGGCCAGACTTCATCTTTCATACTTTGGACATACTGTCAGGAGGGACCAGTCCCTGGAGAAGGATATCATGTTTGGTAAAGTGGAGGGTTGGAGAAGAAGAGGAAGACCCCCAGTGAGATGGATTGGCACAGTGGCAGCAGCAATGGGCTCAAGTGTAGCAACGATTGTGAGGTTGGCCCAGGATCAGGCAGTTGTTTCATTCTGTAGTACATTGGCTCATTATGAGTTGGTACTGACTTGATGGCACCTAACAACAACAACAATTTGCAAGCAATGATAAGTTAGGAGCCCTGGTGGTACTGCTAACCCAAAGGCTGGCAGTTTGAACCTACCCAGAGGTTCCTCAGAAAGAAAGACCTGACTATCAGACCTTGTGGTTTAAACCGCTGACCTTGGGTTCAAAGTGCTGACCTTGGGTTCAAAGTGCTGACCTTGTGGTTCAAAGTGCTGATCCTTTAGCACTACAACCTGTGGGACAGTTCACTTTTTCATGTGGAGTCATTGTAACTCGAAGTTGACTCCATAGCTTCCAAAAATGACAATGGTTAGTTTACTTCTTTAGGTAGTGGTTAGTTTCCTATTGTTCATCATTATTATCATTCACTGTAGTTGATTTTATGAGAGGCTCTTACAAGGTGAGACTACTTATTGAAAAGTTCTCTAGCACAGTGGTTATGTGTCAGGCTGCGAACCTCAAGGTCAGCAGTTCGAAACTACCCGCTATTCTGCAGGAGAAAGATGAGGCTTTCTGCTCCCATAAAGATTTACAACCTCGGAAACCCTGTACAGGGTAGCTCTGAGTTGGAACTGACCCCACAGCACACTACCACCACTATGTTCCTACTAGCAATTTTTTTTTTTTTTAAACCTGCTTTACAGAATTATGACTGTTTTCTACACTACATGATGTGGTAGGTAAGTGTAGACACCAGCAATTAAGCCATTTTTAGTATGTGTTAATGTACTCCCGGCTGCTCCAGTAGCAGTATGTGTGTGAGATATGCTGAGGTTGTGAGTTTGCTCCTCACCTGGAGCAATGTTTTCCAATGCATTATGTAGTCCTGGTGTGGCACTGTGGGTTAAGGTGCCAGAGTGCAAAGCCGTTTGCAAGGTTGGCAGTTCAAGCTCACCAGCTGGTCCTCGTAAACCCTATACAGGGTCGCGATGGGTCGAGATCGACTTGACGGCACTTAACAACAATAACAATGTACTCCTGGTGTGGTGCTGTAGGATTAGCACTGGGTTATGAAGCATAAGGTTGGCCATTCAAACCCACCGGCTGTTCCTCAGAAACCCTATACAGGGTCACTACAAGTCAGAACCAACTTGAAGGCACTTAACAATAATAATGCTGGTGTGCCGTGGAGTGGAGTTGGTTCCAATTCATAGAGACCCTGCACAGGGTTTCCGAGGCTGTACATTTTTACATGAGTCAAAAGCCTTATCTTTCTCCCATGAAACGGCTGGTAGTTTCGAACTGCTGACTTTGAGGTTAACAGCCTGACTTGTAACCACTACACTACCAGATCTCCTTAATTAGGTAGTTGTTGTTGTTGTTGTTGTTGTTAAGTGCCATCAGGTCAATTAGTAGTCCTGTTCAACTCTTTGCTTAATAGAATGCATCTGAAGTGTTTGTGGAGTTTAGAATTACACTTTAAGAGGGACACAAACACATTGGATTATATTCAGAGAAGAACAATTAGCATGATGACAGATGCAAAATTCCTTAATAAGTGAAAAGGTTGAAGGAATTAGTATTAATAACTTAGAGAAAAGGAAATCAAGGATGGCATAATGGTTGTCTTTAAAGTTGCATGGAAGAGAGGTTGGGCTTATTCTGTGTAACTCATTCTATATAGAATACAGATCAGTATGAAGTTGTTACAGGGGAGCAGTTTATGGTTTATATCAAGGTCAGCTGTCTGTCTTATTGTCCATGTATGGAATTAGCTTCTCTGAATATAATAAATTGTCCTTGAAGAGGTGTAATAGTATCAGTAGGCCATTAATAGGCTTCTTGTAAGGGACAGAAGTTTGGTTTCTTCCCAACGCCAAGAATCTATGAATTTTTATGAATAACCTTCTATAGTTAATAGTTTAACATTTATAGCCCCAAGTAAGAATGGCATCGTATCATGATTATTTTTTCCGTAAGTTTTTTTCTTATGGGCAAGGTACTATATTAAAACTCAAGGATTCTTACATTCTTAGTTTTTTTGTTTTATTTTGAGAATCTGGGGTAGTTTATAGATCCTGTTTTAGAATGATTTTAAATGAATAAATCATTGGAATTACAGAGAAAATGAATTATAGTAAATAATTTTAAGAGTTTATGATATAATCAAGAATGGTACTTTACTAATGCATTAAATGCAAGATCTAATGGGGGATAATGGTATCATAATTCTGAAATAGAGATAAACGAAATGTATTTTGTGATACCTGCAATAAGTAAAATGTGTTATAAACATATCGATTGT